TTCTTCTCAAGAACCATTGAGACAGGAAAGATGAAACTCATGTGGAATCATCTTCAGGTAGTGTAGATTCAATTTTGTTCAAATCATGACCCCTGGGGGTAGGGTGGGGCCAAAATGGCCGGTCAAAGTTTTACCTAGGAATATATTGGAAAAATCTTTAAAAATCTTCTTCTCATGAACCACTGGGCCAGGAAAGATGAAACTCCTGTGGAATTATCCCAAGGTAGTGTAGATTCAAGTTTGTTCAAATTATGACCCCTGGGGGTAGGGTGGGGCCAAAATGGCTTATCAAAGTTTTACATAGGAATATATTGGAAAAATCTTTAAAAATCTTCTTCTCAAGAACCACTGGGCCAGGAAAGATGAAACTCAGGTGGAATCATCCTCAGGTAGTGTAGATTCAAGTTTGTGCAAATCATGACCCCCGGGGGTAGGGTGGGGCCAAATGGCCGGTCAAAGTTTTATATAGGAATGTATAGGAAAAATCTTTAAAAATCTAAAATTCTTTTCAAGTACTTCAAAGCCATGCTTAGTGATATTCATAGAGAATCATCCTCATGTAGTGTAGATTCTAGCTTGCTCAAACCATGACCCTCTGGGTGGTAAAATTCAAGCCCCCCCCCCTCACCTCAGTAAACTTTCAGTTCTGATATGTGCTTTTTCCTAGCCAATTGCTCAGGTGAGCGATGTGGCCCCTGGGATTCTTGTTTAAGGTCATATCCGAAAGACCCGTGACTTTCATATATAATGCCGAGCGATTGGCAAAGGAGCAGTCACTACCCATGTTTACGCCTTAGGTTTGGAGCGGCGCCGCGAACGAGAATCGAACCGGGACTCCCGATCACAAAGCGAACGCTTTACACTAGGCTACTGTGCTCACAGTTGACGTTGGTACGATAAAGATCTCTATTGCTCAGTGGTTCTGAGTGCCGAGTTAAAGTCTGACTTTGAAGCCCTTCACCAGTCTATGAAGACTTCTCTATATGAGTGAACAAAATTTGAACTGTACTTAAAACAACACACTATCAATCAATCTCTTCATCCACTGGTGCTCATTCTGTTTTTAATAATTTCAAATTTAATATAGTTAAAAATTTGGTTCCACGTATTACTTGGTATGCTGAAGTATGCTAATCCTGTCTTCTTTTTTTTCGTCATGTTTTCATTATGTTTGCAAGTTTTAATTACGTTTTCCCATTTTTTGTCATCTTTGGTCATATGTTGATAATTGTGAATAAACATTTTCATATTTATGGTTGTTCTATATACATAAAAGCAAATTTTTGTATTATTTGCACCATTTGAATCGTCTCACGTTTTTGTTATGTCTAATGCTGCAAGTTATATATTTTTTATCTTTATTGGCCTTTGTGGTCTTAATCTTTTTCAATTCAAGGTATGTTGCTGAACAGAGAGTAGACTCTTCCAGAACATGGAGAGAACTGTTATTTTATTAAATTATAGATGGTATGATATGCAATTATTTTCACCTAATACATATCATCGCATAAGCACAGTTACATATTGTTTTTGGTTGGTCGACAGAAATAATACATGGCTGATTGATTACTTAAAGCGCAGTCAATCAATGGCTAGCTGAAATTCCACCTGTCTGCATTATTAATGCTCGATAGCCTGCCGTTTGTGCTCTTATTCCACATCACTTATTGCGTTTTGTACTCTTTATGACAACAAAACGTTCGCAAAGCTTTTTGCAGATATATTCGTGACATTGGAATATCACTGTACTGGTAAGTTTCAATATAAACAGTATGGTTTCGAATACAAATTTACCTTTATATTGATCAAAACATTTTTAAAGAAAATATTCCTATCATTAATTGAATTATTTGAAGTTATGCATTGTTAGAAATAAAATCATTTGAATTTTTTTCATGATTAACATTTATCATTTTTTAATTGTCCTTGGTAAAGATGGCGCTGAGTTTTGTTTTGTTTTTTTTTTTGTAAGATTATTCAGTACGTTACGTCCAAAGTAACCATAACATACATATCTATTTTTTTATAGAATCAATACCATGTTATACAAATTATGACTTCAATTGATGAACTTATTTATTATTTCAAATCATTAAAAGAGTGTCCTTGACACTGAGAAGCATTTTCGAAAGTCTGTCGTCATTACAGGCAATCTTATTTACTTGTCCGTTTAACCGTTCCGGTTGGTGAATGTTTAAATCAGTAACGGACTGGTTTAGCAAATGAACGTCAATCAAAACAAGAAACTGTACCTTTAAAATTTAAAGCTCCCCAGTGTTCTTGTTTTCCAAATTTAAACTTGTGAGTAAGTATTTATATATAAATCTTTTATTTACAAATATTTTCTGTAACCTAGGTGGACTTGTGTAATTTCTTATAGTTCTGATTTTTGATAGATTCTTGTGATTGATACAGATGACCATACAATGCAAGAAAAGACATTAAGGTAAGTCTAACTTTATTTGTTTATAAGGGGGAAAATTCCGGCGGTAAATGCAATTAAGTAAAATCAGCTAACATGATAAAAATTATACAGTTTACATTTATAAATATTTATTACAAAAGTATAATAAATTAATATCAACTTCGAATAACATTACAATTCTCAATATTCAAAGCTTCAAATCATTCCTGATCTTCTTATTATCTTATTAATATAACTCCATGAAATTTCCTCCATTTTTCTCATTGGCTGCTATTTATACCCCAGACACACACAAATAAAAATAATAATTCAAAAAATCTCTTGAAATTGAGAGGTTGAATTCTGTTTTTTTTTTTTCAAAAGAGATATAGGATTAGAAAAGACAAAATTAACACATTTTTGTAGAATGTAATTTGGTAACTAAAAGTTAAAAATTAGGCAATCATAAAAAGATTGAGGAAATGGGGATAAATTTACACTTAACACCAATGATAGGCGGATAATCACGGATTATTTTCGTTTAAGAGTTTCTCTATCCCTTGCTCATTGATTTTTAAATAAGTCAAACAATGCAGTACAAAATTTTAAACTGTTATGAAACTTATACCAAGACAATCATGAAAAGCTATAACGTTTGTATAATTTTTATAAATACTTTAATCCGCATTGGATAATGACCGTTCCCTGTATGTAGTGCTTAACAATAATACATAAATCTTACTGATTTATGAACTAATGCTGCCACATAATACCTCTTAAGGCCGGTTTACACTATGCATCTTGACACATGCATCTTGGATGCATGTGTCAAGATTCACAGTGTAATAGCCCCTTGTGTCAAATTAAATGGGTGTTGCATCTTGAACGATCGAATAGAACTTGTTCTATTCCATGCTTCAAGATGCATGGAACTGGCCAATGAAAAGAAAGGTCAGAGTTGAGATTGAATTATAAGCCTTATTTTCCTCCATATAGTTGCAAAAATAGCTTCCTAAGATACACAAAAACAGAAAATACTGATTAAAACAACAATTAGAAAAACTTATTTCAGTATAATAATATAGAGGAGTTTTTCTTTCGGAATGAATATAAATTATATTTTCTAAGAATTATCATTAAAAGGAAATTAAGAATTAATTGCGTAGCTAAAATAAATCTGGAGAAGAAATTTGAAGGTATTGTTATTTTTAAGTAGATAAATTTCATCTTTACAAATATATTCTAAAGATGCATGCATCAAGACACATAGTGTAAATGAGAAGATGCATGAGGCAACATTGAAGCATGAGTTTACATGCATGTGTCAAAATGCATAGTGTAAACCGGCCTTAATATGACTTAATGCAAGACAATAATACTGATGACAGAGACCCCATATTTTTATTCTTTATTTCTACAGATGTACCTGGAAAATTTTCATTCTTTTACGATCCTCATATAATTTTATCACAGATATTAAAGGTGCATGGACACAGATTTGAAGTTAATATTTTCTGTATAATATTACAACTCCTATATTTTAATAGCATTTCACACAAAAAATATATTAAACACCTTTTTTCATCTGCAAGTTATTAAAACTTCAAATTTTTAGACGGGTTTGATTGACACATCCTTGCACTTTCACAAATTTTTATTTTATTCTCAATACTGTGGCAATCTTTTAGTGTATACATGAAAAATATTAAAACTATTATCCAGAAAATTCGGAGTAGAAATGTTCGAAAACAAAACATACACACAGTATATTGTCAGTCCGTGCAGTGGTGGTGAGCAGACCTTAACAATTGAACGCTCCTGGTGAATCGTAAACATCATCAATAACAGAGCTCGTATTCTGTTTACAAAAAAAAAAACTGTGTACGTTTCACGGGTGTGATCAATTTGCTAAACTCTGTACAAAACACTTCGCGCGGAATGACGATACTTGTGAAGGAATTTTGTTTTCTAACATTTCTACTCTGAATATAATTATTTCACTGAATTAAAGTTTTAATATTTTTAATTTATACACAATTATTACACAAATATTAACTTCAAATCTGTGTCTATGCACCTTTGAACGTATGACATTATAAACACAGTTATATAAAAGTAAGAAAAAGAAATGTGTATACTGATTAAGTGTTCACGCTTTTATTTGTGCCAAATGAAGCACCGCCATATCAGGCATCCATAAATACAGGTTAAAGATAGAAGAATCATCTGATCTTTATTATAACAAGGTTCCAAGTCTTTATTGGTGACTTTTATTTGTCTACCGCCGTTTTACAGAGGTGGACCCTCGGTCTTTAGAATTGTTCTAGATAGAACATGCATATTTGCCTAGTAAAGTAAGCAATAATTGATAGTTTAATGCCTCTCCAAGGTCAATTAGGTAACACATTACACCTCATGCAGATGTGATACGATTTCGATTTAACAGACAAAAAAGGAAGAAAAAACAAACAGAAAAAGAAAAAATAATATTGAAAATGTTAAAATGTTTTCTTCAGTCGAAGATACTTTGCGCAATACATATATGTAATTATATAGATATACGGATACCTGAAAGTAAACTTACTTTGTAAAGCTAAAAGTTAGGGGTAATTAGTAAATTATCTTACTGTTTACCAAGCTGCAGACTTAGCATACTGGGTTAATGTCATAATGGGCGTTGTAATTATTCAGAAGCTTAATCATCTTGTCATTTTGATTTGTTTCGAAGTAGACCATGAATTAAAACGGATTTAATATAAGAAATAAGTTATGAATAGGTGCAAGCATATCACATTCCTCTATTGCATTGTAAAAACCAACAAACATAGCGTATGAATGAGTTCCCCAATAGAAATGCAGAAAAAAATGATGACAAAATGGTTGAAAATTTATATACTGGTAACTCGCTGATTTGTAATACGTATAACAATGTTAAATAATACAAATTTATTCAAAGGTGTGAACATGCGTATACCACAGTTATTTGACATTCTTTGACATATAATTTTCTCATTCTTTATTTCCAGATGTGCTTTTAAGATTCTTTGAAACAAGACTTGAAACACTGTGTTAACAGCAGCACAATTGGTAAGTGGTAAGTTGGAATTTACAAATAAATCTTGTCATTGAATTTTCGTTACTTAAAAAATCGTAGTATTTTAAGATTTAAGGGACTCCGATCCTCAGCCAGGAAGGACAACTCTTTAATTTATAATCTAATTCAAAAAGTCGCAAATTGAAGCTTGAAAATTAAATCTTTTCATGCAATAATTTTCATTGTATACGTCTCAATGTGCTTCAAGGTTCTTTGAAGTTCTCGGAAAGGTCTAATTAAAAGTCGAAATTTTTACCCCGTAAAAGCATTTTGAAATTACATATATCAAGAAATTGATGTTCATTTTAATCTAACCATAGATACCGATGTTTATTAACATGATATGGAATTAGAAGTGATTTATAGAGCTTTGCAATGACAGGTCAGTGAGGAGAATCTATATACACTTTGCATTGTAAAATGATCGAAGTAAATAAAAGAAATTAAAGTACATTATATGTATAAAAATTGTGGAATTTCTTCAAAAGCCTGGATACCTATGATTTTTATTTTTAAAATGTGTTAATTCATCAAATTTGAGTTGAAAAATGCATAGCAGGTGTTTTTATTCGCAATTCCTGAAAATATATTTGAGATTTACTAATTTTCTCTATATAATATGATTAACTTGAAAGATGAAGTTTGAAGAATTATTATGGGTAAAAACACGTTACTTTGAAAATTCAGAGACATTTTTGTGAGCATTTTCAATTAGTCAATGCTTGATTTTCAGAACCTGAGGATCGGAGTACCTTAAGGTTTACATATACCACATGATCATAGGGAAACATTTTTATCAAATAATTTACATTGAATAACCAATAAAAAGTGTGTTTTTAAAACTCTAAGTTGGATATTTTGATACAATTTTGTAGCATATGCTGGAAAGATGTCATCCTTTTTCAATTGGTTGTGCTTTCCAAATCGTCACGAACGATCAAAACACAAGACCAAGTTATCAAAGAATTCGGACGATGATGGCGGATTTCTTTCCGTAAAACAACAAAAGAGGAAATTAAGCAGAAATACTACACAGGGAACTGACTACATACGTAAACAGGCTTCGTTCAGCGAGCAAGACAGGAAGTACTCGCATAAAAATGGACAGAGACAAGAGGATAATACTGTACCAAACAAACGAAGGAGAGTTCAGGAAATATTTAACTTACAAAACTCCGAACGTTCTGAAAGCATCCCGAGCAGCCGTTATACCGGAAGTAGATACAGTAGAAATATCAGAGCAAAGGGAGACTTTGGGAGTGAGTACACTCCAAGGATGTACTATCACGAACACAATGCTATAGGAAACAAGAGTGAGAGTATGTATGGATATGTTCCTAAGACAGTGCAAACTTGTAGTGCTTCAAAAGCCCTAGAGGGAAACCGAGTAGACGATTTCTTTTCAAATCTTCACAGAGAGAATGCTCTTCATCTGTTTGGGAAAATGAGTACAAGTAACTGCAAACAAAATCAGTTAATACCTACGTTTACATTTTCACATTCCCAGAGTCAGACGTCTGTGTCTACTGCAGATAAAGTATCACTTATTGAGAGTGAGGAGTTTATAAATGTTGACGTACCTGCCTACGGAGAATATTATCCTAAAATTTCATCACGTGTTAACTCCATTCTGGAGGCCAGTTTTGATTCCATGTGGAATAGCAATGGAGAAGTTTTGTATTAATATAGAACCTAGCATTAAGTATTAAGGAAGACGATTACTTGTGTTTCACATGACAAAACAGAATGATATAAAGTACATGTTATAGAAAAAAATACATGTAACCAAATCACAACTCATGCAATATCAATTGCGTTCTGAATAAAATAAATCTATTATACTTTATTAATTGAAGAAAAAAATACAAGACCTATAATAAAAATAAATACATTGTGATGCATGGGAAATTCGGGTATTTTTTTTTTTATTCTCATCACAATTTTTTTTTCACTTGCAATATGAATACAAAGATAAGACTCCATGTGTTTTAAAGCATCATTTTGGATATACATGTATTATGCACGTTAAAGCTCCTGATATATTTCAAAAAATCGAATGACATTCCATGAAGAATTACAAAAATATTAATGAAAACCATTCCAGACAACAACTCTAAAAATTTTGACAAATGACCCCACATAATTTTAAAACAAGCAAATTAAGTACAACAAAAGTAGGCCGAGGCTATAAATAATTTTTGAGTTCTTTTACTCGGATTTTTGTAATGTTAAGGGAAGAAACAAAAAGAAGTCCATAGGCCACATCGCTCCCCTGAGCACATTGGCTAGGAAAAAGCATAAATCAGTTCAGTATTGAAAGGTTTACAGGGGTGGGGACTTGAATTTTAAAATTCCTGAGAATGTTTCCATATAAAAAAAAATGACTTTCTTCTTTTTGAGAAAAATTTTAAATGAAAGATCCTCTGTAAAAATTTGATCTTCATCTCTAACCCCGATAGGAGACGCAATATTTTTAATAACATCCAATACAATTGGTTTCTTTTCAATCGTCAACTTCCCTTACTTATGCAGCAATATACCTTCATCACCAACATACAGGGTTTATAAATCTCAGTTGATTCGATACGCAAAAGCATGTTCTACGAAATTCAATTTCTAAAATGAGGTAAATTATTGAAAAACAAGTTGATGAAAGGGGATGATCACTCCTCCATGCATGGGACCTGTGCCCACTTCTGATATTTAGACTGTCCTTTTTTGTCCCCCGCTTTCGCGAAAGCGAGGGGACATTAAATCTCATTCGTCTGTCTGTCTGTCCGTCAGTCTTTCAGTCTGTCCGTCACAAAAACTTTAACCTTGCCCATAACTTTTGATTTAGTGGAGCTATGACTTTCATATTTCACAAGTGTATTCCTTGTGATAAGACCTTTCTTTGGGTACCACCACATTTGACCTTTTGACCTTGACCTTGGAGTTTGACCCACTTTTACACAAAAATTGCAAACTTTTACTTTGGCCATAACTTTTGAATAGTAGGTACTAGGACTTTCATATTTCACATACAGTGTATGTATTGTTTGTGGCAAAACCTTTCATTGGATAACAACAACCTTGACCTTTTGACCTTGATTTTGGAGATTTACGTACTTATGAAAAAACTTTAACCTTGACCATAACTTTTGAACGGTGAGGACGAAGGCTTTCGTACTTCACATATGTAATCCTTGTGAGAAGACCTTTCATTGGATACCAATAACTTTTGACCTTGACCTTGGAGTTTTAATTACATTTTAAGAACTTTAACCTTGGTTACAACTTTTAAACAGTAGATACTAGGACTTTTATATTTCACATATGTATTCCTTGTGGCAAGACATTTCATTGGATACCAACAACCTGGACATTTTGACCTTGACCTTGAAGATTTATGTACTTATGAAAAAACTTTAACCTTGACCATAACTTTTGAACGGTGAGGACTAGGGCTTTATACTTCACATATGTGATCCTTTTGAGAAGACCTTTCATTGGATACCAATAACTTTTACCCTTTGACCTTGGCCTTGGAGTTTTAACTACTTTTTAAAAATACTTAAACTTTGGTCACAACTTTTGAACGGTAGATACTAGGACTTTTATATTTTACATATGTATTCTTTGTGGCAAGTCCTTTCATTGGATATCAACAACTTTGACCTTTTGACCTTGACCTTAAAGATTTATGTACTTGTGAAAAAACTTTAACAACTTTGACCCTTTGATCTTGACCTTGGAGTTGACCTACTTTTAAAAAACTTTTTACTTTGGCCATAACTTTTTAACGGTCAGGATTAGGGTTTTCATCCTTCAAAAAAATCAACTTCAGAGTTACTTTCTAAATAAATGACATATGATAGGATGTTCATATTACACACAATATGTCATAAAAAAAACATCTCACCCACAAAGACACCGAAAGCGGGGGACCACAATTCTTTGAATTTGCTTGTTTGCTCAAATTTTGTATTGTTTAATGGAGATTAAGCTTGAACACTGTACGTTACTAGTATCTCCATATATTTTATTGGAAAATCCAATATTCACAGCAGGCTAACTCTTTTGCATGGTAAATTGTTTGCTGTAAGCTTGTCGATACTTGCCGCAAACTTTCTTCAAACACAAAAGCTTGTAAGTCTGTCATGGTTTCTTTAGCTTCGTTGCAGCAAATTTGCAACAATGTTTGCTGCAGTTTTGCAGCAAATGTTTGCAGAAAGACTATATTTTTGATAATACATTTATCTTCTGAAATACTGTAGATCACTAAATTTTCGCGACACCTTATTTTCGCGAGATTGTCATTGACTCTTTGTAAGCGAGACATAATTTTCACGAATAGTTTTTATTCCTCTATATAATCATACGCGAAAATTAAATTTCGCGAACGCATTGTGTCGCGTAATTACGCAAAAATAAAGTTGTCGCGAATAAAAAGAGATTAACAGTAATAAATTATGCAATTAAGAGATATCTATCACCTTGTGACATTTTTGTTAATGAATTTGGTATTAAATAAAGGTGTTACCGATTGCCATCATCTGTCGTTAGTGTTTGCCATGTTAACGATTATCTGCTGTTCAAGACAGCCAAAATCTCTTGACCCATCAAAATCACACGCTTGCAGCACTCTTATTAAACAACAAAAACTATCCACATTTGTCGTAGAGAGCCTAAATTTATCATATAGAACAAGAAATGTGACGTGGAGTAGCAGTCTTATTTCTATAAGCTTAGTTTGACCTATTTTTCTTGAACAAGTATTGAAATTTAACTTTATTCTCTTCTTATTTTGTTTTTATAAGAAACCATAGTTTTATATTCGACAGAAAAATAGTAAAAGGTAAGATCAAAACGGGAAACCACTAACGAAATTAAATGAATGTTATAAATAGTCAAAAATATGATATCAAATAGGTCTCTGTCATAGCGAAAAACAATTTTGCCGTCTGTTGCCCCGTTGCATCGGCAGTCCCAGTTGTCGGTTATATGATGTTAATGAACTCTCTACATTTATCCATTAAATAGCTGATAAAACCACTTTATTTTTTGTTATTCATATAAAAAACCAAAATGCTGTAAAAAAAAAATGATGTTTATGAATTATGTGCTTTTTTTACGTATACGCCCATAAACCAAGATGCATAAACTTTTAAATGCATTTGCCATATGCCTAACAAAGTCCAATATAAATCAAAGTACTGTGCGTACTGATAGACGGTGACATGAATGACTTGAAAGATTTTGTTTGTTGAAAGCTGAACACGACTCGTAAATAGGCATACATCATTTTCGGTATCATTATCTACGATACATCACACCCCTACTAATGCTATTGTGATTTAAATTCAAGACACGTGGTTTAGGTTGATCTATTCAAAGGTTACAGGGTAGAACCGGTTTTATAAATAAAACTGGCAGTAAACATGATATTGCTATAGCCTGTTTCTTTTGAAAACATGTCCTGTAACAAATGTTTCGAGACCTTTCTGAAAGACTTTCATGATTTTCAACAGAAAAAGGGTGGCTAAAGGAGGGGGTGTTAAAATAACAATATATCTTGTACTTTTCGGCGAAAATTAGAGCTCGATTCGCTGCTAAAAAATGTGCATTATCTTCTACACTGACAAACCTTTGTTTGCCTTATATGGCTATTGTTATAAATGTGCACAGAGGATCTCACAACGAGCAACTGACCAATCGTTGAATGAATAGCAACGTTTACGCCAAATACATGTTTACATTTTACTTCGAACACTTAGTTTAGGTCAATCTACGATCATGTTAATGGACTGCAAAATAAAAAAAAATGTTCTTACGAACAAAATACAAAGATAAGAAACTTTGAAAGATGTTACGGGTGTTTTTAATTCGTTGTTAAATGGAAAAAAAAATGTTTAATAAAATGTAGTTTGCGTCTAGTTCAGAACACCAAGGGTAAGGAAAACGAGCAGCATCTCTTGGACAAAACTTTGTTTACGTTCGTGATCACGTGTTCGGCCAGGGAATTCACCTGGCAATTGCATTCACCGATAGTACAACAAAGGAATTAATAGAGACGAAATCACTTTTGCAGTATGACTTTCAGAAACCTAGACTTCCAGCGTTTATTTAATAAATGAATTGTTTGTCATTATGAGCATGAAAATAATTCTTTTAAAAATGCTTTTCATTTACCATAAGATTTTCCCTTTTTTCAAGCGTAAAATTCCTGTAGTATTCGTAGTAACCCATAATGCAACACTCATTCAGCTGATTGGTCAGTTAAAATCATGCTGGTGCCTCATTTGCTAATCTGACGCCAAAAAATAAAGTCCCGGTTCCCATGCACAAATATTTGTCCAAAAAGAAATTTTAATTCATGACAGCAGAAAATTGTATCATAGCGAATACTTATTTAAGTTTGAATGAATGTAAAAGAGATCAATTGATTGAAGTACATTTCTACAGACATTATCAGCTTATTCTAGGGTGGTGAAAACTGAAACGCACCATAACTTTTCTGTTTACCATGCCTCCGCGTGCTAGTCACTTCCTACAATGAAGCGCATTGAAGTGGTAAAATTCTCCGTTTGGATGAAAAGTTCTGAGTCATGTTTTGAAGGTCAATTATAACATAATGACACGCCCATATTTTTAGAAACGAGAAAGTAATATTCGTCGTAGTTTTAGGACATCCCATTCTTCGCGACAAGCATCATGAG